GCCTTTCACATCAGGAGGACATCCCAAAGCGCTGAACAGTCAGGTGTCGGGGCCTGAGCATGGGGGCGGGGTGGTGTAGGGGTGAGGGAAGGTAGAAAGGTGGGAGGGCAACCAAAGGCACGATCGAAGAGAAGGGTCTTGAGACCGGCCTTGAAGGAGGCAAGGGAGGAAGCAAAGCGAAAGGACTATGGGATAGAGTTCCAGAGTGTGGGGGCAGAGAGGCTGAAAGCCCGGCCACCAATGGTAGGGTGGGTCAGGCAGGAGACATGGAGCAGGCCAGAGCCCGCTGAACAGAGGAAGTGGGCAAGTTGGTAAGGAGTCAGCAGATCAGAGAGGTGGGAGGGAGCAAGGCCATGGATGACCTTAAAAGTGAGGACGAAGATCTTGAACTTGATCCTCTGGGGAATGGGGAGACAGTGGAGTCGGGCAAGTTCTGGATGAACGCTAACTTTCTTCAGGTGAACGTCAACAAGACCAAGGCTCTCCTGATTAGCTCCCGTCAGCGCCTCCTCAGGCACTGACAGCATCACCATCCATGGTTGCACACTCCACCTCACTAAGCCAGGGCGGAACCTTGGGGTCTTGTTTGACCCTCAACTATCCTTTCTAACCCACATCTGCACCATGACCTGCACTGCCTTCTCCCACCTCCGGAACATCACCCGGCTCCAACATTGTCTCACACCGCAGGCCGCCGAAACCATCATACATGCTTTCATTACATCAAGGCTCGACTATGCTAACTCATTACTTGTTGGCCTCCCCAACTTCTCCCTCCATAGACTACAAATCATCCAGAACTCTGCAGCCCTTTCCTTACCCGCACTAGGCTCCGCGAACCTATCACCCCCATCCTTGCCCAACTCCACTGGCTTCCCATCACACAAAGGATACAGTTCAAGACCCTAGTCCTCACCTTCAAAGCCCTCCACGGTTTTGCTCCCCCCTACCTCTTTGACCTCTTAACCCCCTACCACCTTATTCGCTCCTCCGCTCAGCGGGCTCCAGCTTGCTTCACGTCCCCCACCTTGCTCGTTCCACTATCGGCGGGCGGGCCTTCCGCCACTCTGCATCCATCCTCTGGAACTCCATCACACCCCCTCCCTTGCCACCTTCAGGACCCACCTCAAGACCCTCCTCTTCATCCATACTTTCAATCTGCCTACTTCCCCCCCGCCCTACCCTCTCCCCTACCCCAACCCTCAGCTTGGGTCCGTAACTCTGTCTGTCTAGCTCCTTGGGATGTCCTCCCAACGTGAAAGGCGCTATACAAATGTAATTTTGTTGCTGTTTGTAAGACATTGCTGTACACAAATTGGCTATCGCATTCACCCACAAAACCACACAGTAACTGTTCTTTACATTAAATCTTGCGAAGTGCTTTGAGATATCCTCCCATTGTGAAAGGCACCTTACCGAATATAAGTATTTGTTTATTAACCTCAGTAAACCATGGGAATAAAAGATAAAAGCAAAGCCTAGGCCATTCTGCTCTTTCCTTGGAGGGAAGCTGCAGAGAGGTAAGCAGTCCTGTGTAGGGAAGGAAAGGATTATTTAAAAAAAAGCAAAGATCATGAGTTTTGCTTTTTAAGAGTGTAGACAACTGCCTTTCTTCATCTAATTGTTGTAATAAGTATTATTAATCAAATCAGGAGGGCCATCAAAGCAGCTCTCATCAGTCATTTATGCAAGTTTACTTATCATTAGAACAATTAACAATCCAGGTGTAAATGTAATATTGTTGCTGTTGTTTATTCCGTTTGGAGTGTGGAACAATAATGGAAATAATTAACATTCAGCATCTAAATCTTAGTAAAACACATGCCCATTAAGTTGGGTGGATACATTTTGTAGTTTATTAAAATTAATGGATTTCCTGGATGCAAATTGTCAGCAGGGGCATCCACATATGATGTAGATTCCTTAATCAACAAAGTCCCAGAATCATTGATAGTTCATGATTCATAAATGCAATTATACATATTATGACATTCAAAAAATGGCAACAACATCTGATGAGATGATTTGCATGTTAATAAGTATTACACGGGTGAAAATTTAATTATTATCAATTATTAGCCAATTGGAGGTCAAAATTTTCATAGTTGCATCTGGGGTTTGTGTTACTGACCTTGTCACCGGAAAGACTGAGACTTTACAAATAAAGACAGTGTGTAAATGTTTGGTTAATGTGGATGGAAATTTTGAATGGGTGAAATTAATAAATTAAGAGAATAGCAGAAATTACAAAACAGAAACATACTGTCCACTGATCATTAGAAGCTTGAGTTTCTGTTTGTAAATTCACCTGAGATAAAACCATTGGGTTCAAAGAAAAATAGGTTGATTGACTAACAGGTCATTGCAGTGCTTTTATACATGACATTTAACAGTGCCTCTTTGTGTTATGCAGTAGGATGTGGAGTACAGTGAACTGTAAACATACAGAGATGTGAGGATCTGTGAATTTTATTTGAACATCTCCAATATTCAAGAATGAAATTAGTTTTGCAAGGAAAGTCCCAGGTTTAGGCTCTGTTCTCTGTTAAGTTAGCCAGTATTGATCAGGATAGCAGTAAGTGTAGTACATCAATTAATTGATCAATTATTTTTTTCCCCCACTCAAGAGAACAGAAAATAATCAGGTAAGATTCCCACTTGTGATCACTGTTCATTGATGCCTACTGAAAGTGCTTTAGACGGGTGAAAGGAAAGGATGGGAGACAGATTCCTTCATGGTGGCTCACCATAATTTAAACCGTCTCAGTCAGGCTTGCTTATAAGGAATAAGCAATTGCACTTGGTCCCAAGGCAATGCAACAACCCATTGAAATGTACCCTAGCATGTAACATTTTGCTTATGGGAGGAGGATTATGAAACAGTTTCAGGGAAGGAGGATCAAGGGGAGAAAAAAAAATTGACTTCTTGTTTGATTGACTCACCTCTTTCTGAACGATTGAAGTCAGTGCTCAACTTCAGAGAAATTGTCCTTAAGGGGATAAGAATAGTTTGGCTGCATTCATGACCAGATTGTTTTGTTCGTGGAGTTGGAACTAAAAGGAAAAATCTAATCTGTCTCCACGCTCAACAAAGGTATCAACTTTTCTTCCATGTTATTGTACAATCAGCAGGAGATTCTCATCATAGGAAGCTTCTCTCTCGTTGTTCCTATTTGGGCGTTTATTTGCCTTTTCAGGCTCATTTTGCTGTGCGTGTTGCATCAGAATATACATAAAGGCATGACCAATACACACAGATATTATAGGCAGAGGTGCTTACAGCCACCTCCCCCCGGCTCGGAATCAGGCTCCGCCACTGTTAAGCGCTCTGAGATGCTACCCTGCATGGAGGGCGCTATATAAATGCAAGTTGTTGTTGTTGTAGGTCACTTTCCCTAATCTTTAGTGCAACCGACACCTAGTTGTGAACCAACGGGAATGAATGGTTTTAACCAGGTTCCTTAGGCGGAAGTCACAGCTTCCCATCCCCCACTACCACCCACTCCCACATCTTATTCCAACAGCTTTCACATCACTCTTGATTTCTATTGATATAGAAATCAAATTGACAAGTGATCACTTGTGAACAAAGTCGGTCCTGACTTTTGAAAAGTCAGGACCCACTTTGGAAAACCAGGACAGTGTTTTCAACAGGAAAGATCCAAATCGTCACACAACGGAATCTCAGGGCACGAGAAAAACAAGTACTGCTGCATTTTGTTTAGACTTTGCTCTTGATCAGATAATTCGACAGATTGCATCAGAAGTTACATAGAATAGAAATTCCTACAGTAGCAATGACAGCATTACATGCAATACTTCTTGGCATTACTGTAGACAATGCTTTCCCAATTATCTGGAGCTCACAATTGGGCATTAAGTTATGTAAAGTCCAGTGGTACAAAACAGAATTCATTTACAAAAATATTATTACTTTAGCAAAGTGTTAAAATAAATAAAAGTAATTATTATAAGCCTTGCATTATATGTTACCTGTAACTTTGAAATATTTAAAAATGCTTTAAAGTGCTTAGGGGGAGGGGTTGTCTCACCCCGCCAGTTTAATAGTTTGTCTATAAATGATAGTAAGAAAGCATGTGATCTCACCCATCAATAACGCCACCAGTGAATAAACCCATAACTGATAACTGACCACATCAAAGAGAATTGTAAACCTTTTAGCATTTTAACTTTAGAAATGTATTATTAGTGATTTACATTAGTATTCAGAACTCTGCAGCTCCTGTCCTCTCTCACATCAGGCTGGACGAATCCCTCATCCATGTTCTCACTCAGATCCCCTGGCTCCCCATCCCCCAGGGGATGCAAATCAAGATCCTTGTCCACACTTCCAAATCCCTCTACTCGTTCGCCCCACTTAACCTCTGCACTTTCCTGTGACCCTGGCGCCCCAACTGCTCCCTCCACTCCGCCAACATCGTCATGTTCCAGGTCCGAGTTGCCTCACCGTCGGTGGGCGAGCTTTCAACCATTCTTCTCGCGCTCTCTGGATCTCCATTACTGAGTCCTTCCACATTCTCCCCTCCTCCCTGCCTTCAAAACCTGCCTTAAGACTGACCGTTCCCCCCACCCCGCCGCTCCCACTCCCCAGCTCAGGCTCTGGGTCAGGTATGTGAAGCCTTCAAAATGATTCCTCATGAGCAAGGTGCTGTGTAAATGTAAATTGCTGTTGAGATAAAGATTAGAAACCACAAAGGACAGACATAAGTGGAGCTCCCAATCCGGTGAATTGTGCATAGCATTATTGGGCATCTTCAGTACATTCATTGTGAAAAAGATGCTTACACAGGAACAGTGCAACCCCTTCCCCTTATGTCAGATGCAGAATATCACAGTAAAAAAAAATCTCTAAATCTCACTGAAGCCAATGGGAAACGATCTATCCGCGATCGTAGAGGCGGGATACCTGGTTAACACTAACATCCTTCAGGGCAGCTGCTGAAAGGCAGAGGGACAGTGCAATGCGTACGCTCTCTTACCTATAGTAACAAGGAAGGCGGTGCAGAGGTTGAAACGTCTGGAGCTGCTCATGGCTGGAGAGAGGGATCTCAGTGGGGGAGGCGATGAGAGACGGTCCTGCGGGGAAGCAGCCGGTGTGGAGCAAAGGCGGGCGGACAGGTGTTGCCCCTCAGGCAGATTCTTGCTCGGTTTCGATCACTCTGCAGCACTCCCCGGGAGGGCTGGAGACTCGCACTTATATTGCAACGTGATCAAAAGCCGGAACCCGCAGCCTCAACGTGCACATGTCCCCACCACTCACCTCACCTCACTGCTGCAGGAGGAGGAGAGCTAAAGCGATGGCATTCGTCCATTTGGCAAATATTATTCTAATAGGGGATGTTACAATTTCTTAAGAGCCGATTAATTCCTTTGTAAGGAGAGCTGACGTGTCATTGCGTAAGTGCACACACACACACACAAAAAGAGCAGATAGTGGAGGGAAGGGAAGGGCAGAGTGCTTTGCTGAATTGTTTTGTGTTTTTTTTTGGGGGGGGGTCGGTCGCCTGGGATCTTTCTTGGGAGTATATTGGAAGGTGTCAGGTGAAACACTGGGTTCCAGTGTGTGCAAATATCTGAACTGGAACCAAGTAATGGTCAACGCTGTTCAGAAATACAGTGAGAGAACCAGAACACACCACAAGAGCACAAGGAATGTTCAGATGGAGAAGACCCTTCAGCACATTTGATCTCTTTCCAGAACATCCATCCTCCTGTGCTGCCTTCATATTACAGCATCAAGTTGTTTCTTGAATGAGACTAGATTGTCTCCCTTTTTTTTTCGACTAAAGGGGATTAATCTGGATTAGGAGGTAAACATAAACCAGAGAGAAAGAGCCACATTTCTTTGAAATAGTAACAGTAGGGTTCCTTTACATCCACCTCAACCAAAGCGCTACTATTTAAAAGTTGTTATTGTTTAAAAAATAATCATTGCATTTGATAGAGCACATTATCACATTACCAATATATCTCAAAACGCTTCACAGAATATACCATAAAGTGGTGTGACTGTGTGTGTTGTGGGAAACCACAGCAGCCAATGTCCCACAAGCAACTATGGTGTGAATGATCAGTTTTATAGTAACTCATTTCAGTTGTTAATTACAGCAGAATGCCATGTAACCACACACAGACTATCCACACGTCCACTTATTCTCTTCAGAACCCTGCAAAGTCAGATGCAATGTCAGCAATTAGCTTTTAGCTGTGCGCCTCTCAGCATGTTTGAGATTCCTGAGCAGCCTCAGGTGGAGAGATCTGACCCAGGTAAATACAGCATTGGAGAGATTAGAAAGGAAGAAATACGTGCACTCGCGCACACAAGGAGCTAGACACCTACATAAACACACAGAGACAATAACAACAACAACATTACATTTGTATAGCACCTTTCACGTCGGGAGGACATCCCAAGGCGCTGGACAGACAGAATTACGGACCCAGGCAGAGGGTTGGGGTACGGCAGCGGGGGAAGCAGGGAGATCGAAAACACGGACGAAGAGGAGGGTCTTGAGATGGGTCTTGAAGGAGACAAGGAAGGGGAGGAGGTGGAGGGACTGCGGGATGGAGTTCCAGTGGGTGGGGACAGAGTGGTTGAAGGCCCAACCGCCAATGGTGGGGCGGGTGAGGCAGTGGATGTGAAGCAAGCCGGAGCCCGCTGAGTGAAGGGAGCGGGCAGGATGGTAGGGGGTCAGGAGGTTCCAGAGATAGGGGGAGTGAGGCCATGGAAGGCTTTAAAGTGAGGACCAGGACCTTGAACGGTATCCTCTCTGTGATGGGAAGCCAGTGGAGTCAGCGAGAATGGGGGTAACAGGCACAGAAAGAAAGCCCCACCCCCCCACACACACACACATAGAGATCTGACATTCACACCATTTTCATACCTTGTCCCAATTAATACAGTACTTCTAATGTACTATCTTTAAGTATTTACTTGTGTCTGTCCTTTAAAAACTCTGAACATTTGACCTCCCGTTGCTGAAGTTTTCTGTTTCTATTTCATTAAGCATCTTATATAATGCCATAAGTCCCTCTGTGAGATGTCCCTTTCAAAGCTGAAGAACTCTAGCTTATCTAATAATCCTTGCATTTGATATAGCGCTTTTCACGTCTTCTCGACGTCTCAAAGCGCTTCACAGAATATGCTGTAAAGTAAATTGACCGTATATTTGTGGGCGAAATGCGGCAGCCAATTGCACACAGCAGTGTACCACAGACAGACGTGGATTGAAAATGACCAATTTATTATTGTTTTGTGTTTTGGAGGAATTATTATAAGGCGTGTGGAGTAAGAAAACTTACCCAAGGTTTTGCCCTTCCTGGAATTGAACCCATGTGTCTTGCTTGCAAGGCGACTGCTCTAACCACTGAGCTACAGGACTCCATATCTAGTCCCCACAATCTCTCTCCGCTGCCCTGGAGTCATTTGAATTCCTCCCCCTCTGGCCTACCTCCCGCGTTGAATTATCCTCCTCGCTCATTCTGTTCCACAACTCCGTCTCCACTACTCTTGATGTCCTTGCACCCCTCACTTCCCGAACAGTCTCCTACTCACGAAGCTCACCCTGGTATACCAACACTTCCGCTCCCTCAAGTGTCAGATGCATGCTGCCGAACACACCTGGTTCAATTCTGATCTAATGATCTACCGGCAGATCTGGTTGGACCACATCAAAAGTAGCGCTCTGCCCTCACCTCCGTGAGCAGCACAGAAACTGCTCTGGTCAAGGTGACAAACGACATCCTGTCCATCTATGACCAGGGCTCCCTCTGCCTCCTCGTTCCTTGTCCACCGGTTCAGTTCCCAACTCCCTAAAAACAGCCGTCATCACCCCATCTTGAAAAAACCTTCCCTGGATCTATTCCTCCTCTCCAGCTACCGCACCATCTCTGACCTCCCATTCCTCTCCAAGGTCCTGGAATGAGTCGTCGCGTCCCAGCTCCGCTCCTTTCTTTCTCGCCATTCCCTCTTTGAACCTCTCCAATCCGGCTTCCGCACTGCCCACAGCACGGAAACAGCCCTGGTCAAAGTCACTAAAAAGTCACTGAAAACCAAAAAGCTCATTAAGAGTGAGAAAATGGAACAATGGAATATGAGGGCAAGCTAGCTAGGAACATTAAGACACTTACTTTATAAGAGTTTTTATAAATACATTAAGAGGAATAGGCTAGCAAAAGTAAATGTGGGTCCATTACAGGCAGAGACAGGAGGAATTATAATGGGGGATATGGATATGGCAGAGTCCCTAAATAAATACTTTGCTTCTGTCTTCACGTTAGAAGACACAAGAAGTTTACCAGAAATAGAGATGGACCAAGGGGCTAATGAGAGGGAGCAACTTAGGGAAATTTACATTAGCAAAGAATTGGTGCTAGGGAAATTGTTGGCATTAAAAAGTGACAAGTCCCCTGGACCTGATGTTCTATATCCTAAGGTTTTAAAAGAGGTAGCTCATGAGATAGTGGAGGCCTTGTGTCTGATCTTCCAAAATTCTTTGGATTCTGGAACAGTTCCCATTGATTGGAAGATCGCAAACGTCACACCACCATTTAAGAAGGGTGGGAGAGAAAAGATGAGGACATATCAAGTAAGTTAGATAGGGGGGAATCAGTGGATGTAGTGTATTTAGATTTCCAAAAGGCATTCGATAAAGTGCCGCATAAAAGGTTGATCTACAAGATTGGGGCCCACGGAATTAAGGGGAATAGATTAGCATGGATTGAAGAATGGCTAATGGGAAGAAACAAGGAGTAGGAATAAACGAGTCCTTCTCAGATTGGCGGGATTTGACTAGTGGAGTGCCACAAGGATCAGTGCTAGGGCCTCAACTATTTACAATCTACGTCAACAACAACAACAACAAGATTCCATTTATAAAGCGCCTTTCACGTCAGGAGGACGTCCCAAGGCGCTGCTCAGTTGGGTCATGACCCGAGCAGGGGGGAAATGGTCAGGGGGAGGGAAGGGAGGGAGCGAGGAGGGGGTAATGGTTAGGGTGAGGGGAGGGAAGGGAGGGAGCGAGGAGGGGGAAGAGAGTCGAGAGGGGAGCTGAAGGCTCGGTCAAAGAGAAAGGTTTTGAGACCGGCCTTGAAGGAGGAGAGGGAGGAAGCGGCGAAGGCACTGGGGGATAGAGTTCCAGAGCCTAAGGGCTGAGAGGCTGAAAGCCCGACCACCGATGGTAGGGCGATTGGGGCGGGGGACGTGGAGCAGACCGGAGCCAGAGGAACGGAGAGTACGGGCAGGTAGGTAGGGGGATAGTAGGTTGGAGAGGGAGCAAGGCCGTGAATGGCCTTGTAGGTGAGGATGAGGATCTTGAAATCAATCCTCTGGGGGATGGGGAGCCAGTGGAGGCGAGCGAGGGTGGGAGTGATGTGGTCCCGAAGCCTGGTGCGGGACAGTACACGAGCTGCAGAGTTCTGAATGACCTGCAGCTTGTGGAGGGAGGTGGCGGGAAGGCCGGCGAGGAGAGAGTTCCCATAGTCCAGCCAACGATCCAGATAAGGACATTGAACTTAATATATCCAAATTCACAGATGACACTAAACTAGGAGGGAGAGTAAACACCGAGGATGACATTAAAAAAATGCAACGCGATATAGATAGGCTAGGTGAGTGGGTAATAGGTGGCAGATGAAGTATAATGTAGGGAAGTGTGAGGTCATCCACTTTGGTGGCAAAAAGAGTAGAGCAGATTATTTTTTAGAAGGGGAGAGACCAGATAGTGTTAGCGTTCAGAGGGACTTGGGTGTCCTGGTACACCAGTCACAAAAAGTTAGTTTGCAGACACAGCAAGCAATTAGGAAGGCAACCGGCATGTTGGCATTTGTTACAAAAGGGTTACAATATAAGAATAGGAAGTCTTGTTGCAACTGTATAGGGCCCTGGTAAGACTGCACCTAGAGTAATGCGTGCAGTTTTGATCTCCTTATTTAAGAAAGGATGTACTCGCCTTGGAGGGGGTACAATGTAGATTCACTAGGTTGGTACCTGGGATGAGGGGGATGACTTATGAGAATAGGTTGAGCAGTTTAGGCCTATATTCTCTAGAATATAGAAGAATGAGAGGTGATCTTATAGAAACCTATAAGATTATAAAGGGACACGACAGAATAGCTAGTGGGAGACTTTTTCCTCTGGTTGGAGAAACTATAACCAGGAGTCACAGTCTTAAAATTCGGGGTAAGCCCTTTTG